TGTGAATTAAGAAGTTATGAAACCAACAGAAAATAATAGGAATACGGAGGTGCTGAAGAGCATGTGAAGATAACACCTAAAAACCCCCACTTTCCTTTTCTAACCTATCTTTCCTTTTCAACATTCTCTCCCATATATGGTGATGAATTAAGACAGGCAATGCAGGGAATTCTTCCAATTACAGGTCATTGCATTACAATGGTTTTGGAAATAAATGTGTTTCCCTTCAGTACATACAAGATGAGATTTTGAAATCAGTGGCTTAGTCTAGGATTCAGTTGTCAACGATTTCTGTCTAGAAACTATCAGAGAATTATCCTGTGCAATTATCTTAAGTTGGCCTCTAAACCAGCACATAGGAACAAACCTCTGTTCTGGACACCAAGCACTGACTTGCTCCCTATCTTAAATAAAAAGGCAAGCTTTCACTAAGGATGCGGAAGCAAGTTACTACCTCCCTCCCACCCATCCCTAATATGTTTTATGTTTATTCTTTACAAACCTGGATAGCAAAGAGGCTGAGACATCGGCATCTCTGATGCCAGGTGGTTATTGTCCCAGTTGTTTCTTCTGGTTCCAGATGAATGACAGTGGGAGCTGTTCTGCTCCTGAGCAAAGGGCAGGAGGAGGAGCTGCGAATTCTTAGGGTTTCAGGTTAGAGTAAAAGAGATCTTAAATGCTGTTTGCCTCACAATTTCCAACTCTTTTCATATTTAATGGCTTGAAAAAAATAGGGTGAATAAATTCTAATGATTTGGGGGTTTACGCTATTGTGGAGAAAATAAAGAAATCACGCTAGTAATAACTTGTCTCTGTGCCCACACAATAATTTTACTCCAGAATGCCATGAAAATACTTTAAACAGATTTCTGCCAAGACACTGTCTGAGTAATAGGCTTACCTGGCGCTCAGGATTCAATTGTGTCTTCTTTGATTTAGGAAGTAATTTCTAAAGGATGAGGACATATGCAACTAGCTGAAAATTCGAATGACATTTCTGCTGCAGACACCTTCCTTGCTACTCCACTTCATTCTAAATGCTGATAGTGGCAACACAAAAATGGAGAATCCTGAACGCTGAATCATTCAAATGCTGTATTTTCAGACACAGCTGGTGCCTCAGTGATCAGGGTACCTCTGAATTTCGTTTACATTTGCCAATATCCAGAGTGGGATTCATCCAAGTGGCAACAAAAGCAAAACAAGATCGTAAGAAAAAAAAATTTGAGGCAGTGTGAGAATAAACTATCTACAAATAGGAAAAAGAGAACTAACAGAGAGGGCAAAAGAATAGAGAACAGCCCAGATCCACCGGACTATCCTGATGGCTTTGTGCCACCAGAGGAATATAAGGAAAGCCATCAATGGGAGAAGAATCATATAACAGCACAAAGCTACAGCAGACTCATGCCATCTTGTGCCCCCACTTCAGCTCAGGATGGAAGACAAGACAGGGAAAGTGAGGGCCCGTCACTGAGAGTTGCCTGCTGTTTGCTCTCTGAACAGCCCCATGGGGCCCAAGGCTCAGCAGGAAAGAAATGGGGGGAACAGCACAAGCTGGGACAGCTCCTGCAGAGCTGAGAAGTGGGATCAGGTAAAGAATGAATAAAGAAACCTTTGTCCCCATTCCTCCAATCCTCTGCTGGTGATAGTTTTGGTGGATGAAATGATCTGGTTCATTAGGATTTGTTTGAAAGAGACTGATGGAACAACAGGGCACGTCATGGACAACTGAATAGTTCCATCTCATTTTTTATATAAAATATTAAAGTTTTGAAAGTGAGATACGCTGTCACAAGAGAGATAGTGCTACATTTTCGCTGTATCGCAGTTGAGGTAATTCCTCTTTTCCACCTCAGAAAACCAATCCCTTTTTATCAGTTATAACTTGACGACAATGTTCATTTAACAACTTAAATAGCAATATTATGATGACATGTCCTTTTAAATGGGAATGAAAAATAATTCATAAACAGAGGCAGAAGAAACCTCAAAGTTGCGTTTTCAGATTTCTTATTTTGACGTGTAACAGTAACTTGTAATTTAATTTCCCTCTTTTTTAACTGAACAGAAAAGGATGAAACTTGTCATAAATGAGATCTCAGTACAGCTAAATAAGTCTAAAAATCTAAATTGATCCAATACTTCTTCAAATTAAACACTCCTAAATGGAAACTTGGCTCAGGCTTCTCCAACTTCATGGATTTTGATTGACATATCTGTCCTTGTAACACTCTAAATCAAGAGTCCTTATCAGAAGTGTCCCTAACTGTAACAGTCTTAAATCATGACCGTCTTTGCCAGGTGAGCCAAACTCTGGTGAGGAAGCTTCTGTGAGACTGAAGAACTCACGGTTTTGTTGTATGTGTCCAGTGTTGTAAATAGCATCAGCTTTTAGACACCTTATGAAACTAAGCAAAAAAGGTGCAATATGTGTGCCCTAGCACTCCAGCATAGGTGAAATCCAACATTTTAGTATTGTCACTCACTTCAAAAGGGCCAGGATTTCACCCTGTATGATCCCAAGTTACAAAAGTCTTCCAAAGGATTTTGAATAACAGAGTATTATGCAACCTTTAACATGAAAGGACCAAACATGTTACATTGAAAGCTCAAAAGGATGAAAGTGGGAGCAGGTGACTACCCTGCACTATTCCCTTTACACTGCACAGATCAGGCTCATTCAAAACCTCTGCTTTTAAAATCACAGGGCACACCTCAGTGTGCACGTTCGATTCACAAGGTAGTACAGACCTTCTCGCTACTTTATTTGTCCTTAATTTAAGCCCTAGCATTTAGGGCTTTGGGCCAGAGGTTACACACCAGAAGAAAAATCAGGGCCTGACTCCTGATGACTCAAACCCTTCACTTGATGCTGGAACACTTCAGCACTCCCTTGATTTTTTTTGGCACCAGGAATTTATGACCTAGATTCTGGGACACTCTAAGGCCTAACTCCTGCCTGAATTAGGCTTTTCACTGAGCTTCTCTCTGTGTTTCCTGCAGATCCTAGCAGAAAAGATCTATAATGAAGCACATCCAATTGTCACTGAAGTCCTGACACAGGCTAAGGATTTTCAATAGGGTATTCAGAAAGGAAAATTTATGCCTGTGTTAAGGCACCTTTAAGTAATCAGAGCAACATTAAGGAAATATAGCAGAAGATTGATTTAGAAAGTGAATTTCCTTGCTTCCTAGATGGCTTTCACGAGGTGCGTTTTGGAATGACTGAAAGGAGAGGGCCATGATGTCAAGAGCTCACAGTGCAGCCAGCAGCCTTTCAGTGCAATGAGAAGCATTAATCATGAGAGATCTGCATTCTTTGAAGGATTTTTTATGCATCATATTCTGTTAATTACTTAGTCCTTGTGAGAAGTCAATGCATGCTAGCTGATAGAAACCCACCTAGGTGACATCAGGAGCTCTTCTCCATGAGTTAATCTGAAGCAGGAAAACACCTTGCAAACACACATGAAATAGGACAAACTAGCTGACTGCAGTAGTTTTAAGTATATGTAAAAACCTCACTGAGATTATTTAACAAATAAATAGGAATAAATACATAAGCTATTTCAAAACAACTCAATTACTCAAAGATTAATTTTATGTACACGAAAATTGCAAAAATCACTTCTGTTGTCTGGGTATAACTTGAGAGCAGGTGCCAATAATATCTCTAATCCTTAAGTATCTCAGCAGAGCTTTAAGTTCCCAATTTCTGCATGTTTGGTAGCATGGACTCCACCTACACTATAACCCTGAGTCAGTAAAAGTACAATACTTCACAGCTCAAGCAGGGAGAAACTTTTCCTTGTACATGAGGAATGGCAAGAACACATTTTATTGTTTAACTCTTTCTAGTTAAGAGGGGAAAAACGTTTTGACCTGCCATTACCCCCTTTACACTTGCCTAGTATATTTCCCTGTCAGATGAAGAAACGTTTGAGGTGATAACAGTTTACATAATGTAGCTAAGCATATTACATAAAGATTAAAGCAGCAGGGTCAGCACAGGGGCAGAAGTATTTCAGTTAGGCCAACACAGCCAGCTCTATTAGAGGCTTGTTTTATGCCAGGTTAATGCTATTCATACTAAATACGTAACATTTTAAGTGTGGTTCTGCCTTGGCCTCTCCCATTCCTTATTGTGCTGCTTGCCACGGATGTAATGCCTACCTGTGTGGGAGGGGAAATTCATTTACCGACTACAATCACGCTAGGACACCCATCTCCAACCGGGATGGGGCACGTCACCCGGCCGTCGCTGGTGGCAGGGAGCTGTTTGTGCCATCACGACGCAGCAGCCCTGCGGTCGAAACTACCGCGATGAGCACCGAACTACGACCCCAAAGCACCGGCCTCCGTCAGGCAGCACCAGCGGCAGCTGCCGGCACCCCTCGCTGCTCCCGGGGCACCCGGCCCGTCCCCAGCCCCACCAGCCGAGGGACGCGGTGGCTTCGCTGAGACAAAGGCCGCGGGGAGGTGCGGGCAGGACCCGGCCGAGGGAACAAAGAACCAGAAAAAGACCAGAACAGCAAAGAAAGTTGATACCGGGCCCCGCTGCTCTTCCCTGCCCCCCGCCCCCCCAACCCCGCCACCCCTGAACTTTCACATGCGGCGCGGTGCGGCGGATGACAGGCCGCGGCCCGGGAGCGAATCGGGAACCCAGACCGGCCTTCCCCCCGCCCGGCTGGGGCTGCCCCATGCCCTCACGCCTCCTCAGCCCCGCTCCCCCCCCCCCCCCCGGCCCGGTGTGCTTCCCTTTAACGCGCGCTCCCGCTGCCGGCTCCCGCCCCTCCTCCGGCCCCCGCGGACGCGCACCCGAGACCCATTTCCATCACACCCCCTCCCCCCCTCCGCCCCCTCGCGAAAGAACGCGCGCGCGCGCGCTCCCATCCCGCCCCTCCCTCGGCGGGCCGCGGGAGCCCGGGCTAATTGGTTCGCTGGCGGGCGCGCGCACAGCGCTGGCCGGGCGGGGGCGCGCGCGCGCGCGCGCGGAGGCGGCGACGACGGGGACGGGGACGCGCGCGTCAGCGGCTTCACTTCTGTCCGGGCAGCGGGGGCTGGAGGTAGTCAGTCAGCGGCTGCCGCTGCTGCTGCGAGGGAGGCGCGGAGGGAGGAAGAAGAGGGCGAGGAGCGCGGGGGAGCGGGTTCATGACTCAGTGAGCGGCTGCGGCCCCTTTCCAGCCCCGCGCCCGGCCGGAGTCGGGGCGACCCCCGTCGGATCGTCCCGCAGCCTGTGTCCGGCACCAGCGAGAGAGACGGAGAGACAGAGACCTGCGCTCGCCTGCAGGTAGCAGCGGACCCCCCAACCCCGCCGCTTTCCCTCCCCGGTCTCTCCCGAGGCACACCTCTGCCCGGCTGAGGTCCCCTCCCCCCGCCCCGTCCCTCGCCATCGCTCCCGCACGGCGCTCTCCCCTCTTTCCCGTTTAGCTGCGACCCTCAGTTTCTACCTTCATCTTTCCTCTCCCCTCCCCCCTCCGCACCCCCCCCCCCCCCCCCCCCCCGACGCTTCCTGGTCCCTCTCTCTCCCTTGTAACCTCTGGCCAAGCCCCTTCTCAGCAACAGTCCCGCCCGCCCCCAGCCACCCCTGCATCTCTGCCACCGCTTCCCTCGGCTCCATCCATCTCTCCCTCCATCCATCCATCCTCCGGTCACCGCTTCAGCCTCCATTGCTCCTCAGCACCCCTCCCACTCCTTCAACAACTCTTCCGTGTCCATTTGTCCTGCTTGCCCGCTGCGGGCGGGACCAGCGACCGCCGCCGCTACCCCCGGCCCCGCTCCGCGGGCACTCGCTGCGGCCCGGGGTCGTTCCGGCGCTGGGTACTTTCTACACCCCCGCGCCCTCCATGACCGAGCATCCCGGGGTACTCCACATTCTACATCCCTTCCAGCCGCCGCGGTGGGCTACCCGGGCTACAGCCCCGAGGGGGGGACACTACCCCTCTCCTCACCCCCGAGAGCCCCGGGGAACCCCGCAGCCCAACCTCCTCCCTTCCCTCGTGTGCCCTCGACGTCTTCCTATCGCAGTCTCCTCCTCCTCTCCACGGCTGGCTCCTAATTCTTACCCTGGCCCGACCGCCGCAAACCCGGCGTTTGGGGTGCCCATGCCCTCGCACCCCACGATGCCACATGATGGGTCTCCCCGACTGGCGGGGGGGGACATGGTGGGGCCGTGGCAGCCCGGGGATGCCATCCCGTCTCTCCGGTTTCCCCTCTCAGAAACCGGGCTCCTGCTGCGTCCCCTCCCATGATGTTCTGGTCCTTTTACCCTTTACGGTTTCTAATGAAGATGAAGTAAGGCGGCTGCTGCTGTTGCTGCTCTTCGTGGACCCTGCAGAAACATTCCATTTATCTTGGCTTATAGGAAATTCAGTCTGCTTTAGAAAGACATCATCACTAGCTCTGCCACCCTTGGGACCCATCTGCACATTGCCAGGATCTCTCTGTCCCTGACTGATGTTTTTTTTTCCTTTGAGGAGGGGGAGTAGTTGCAGTTGGGTTTTCTTATTATTGTTTGTTTCGGTTTTTGTCTTGAGGAGGGAGGGGAATGTGCCAGTAGATATGTAGGGCCAAAGCAGGATCCTTTTGGACACTCTTCACTTCGAACTGATAGTTGTAGTTACACTTGTAGTCTGTGTCTCTGCTGAATCATCTCACATTAAAGGAGAGATTTTTAAGTCCCCTTTCACTCCTTCCTCTGTCCCCTCTGCTCATTTTTCTCGCTGCCACAGCAGGGAGGTTAGCAACCCCCGTCTGAATGTGGAATGGCCTGGCAGCTGGGGACATGGACATCGTGTGTCTTTCCTTGCGCTCCTTGTGACAGTTGCATGACTGTCCAGGTTCAAGGAGTATCTTGTATTTCTCTGTGTTCCTGGCATTGAAATGTTTTCCTCACAGCGTCATCCCCTCGGGTAATTCCTCCTTCACCCCCCTCCATCCCCATCCTTTTATTTGTGTGTTTGTCCTTTAAGTTTGAAGTGTCTAACTCCAGGCCCTTTACAACACACTTTTACCATGACATTGAGCATCCCTTGAACTATGCAAAATTCCTAAAATCACAGATACTGTGAGGAGAGGGCACGACAAGAACTGTGTGGGTGTCAGAGAGGGGAACAGGGAGAGAGGGGAAAGAAAACCAAGAAACTATCTAGACATCAAATGACAGATTTAAGCATTTTCTTGTTGTAAATGCTGGCATTACATGTTAGAGTAATTATATGCTCTGTGCTACTGTTACAGTGTTTGGCTGATGGATAGTAATCTGAACTTACAAAGTGAACACAGTTGTTTTTGGGTGTTACTAATATTTATAACCAAGATTATTCATGGTGGATGTCCTGTGCATGTAAGCTTTATTAAATATGTTTTAAACTTTCTGGTCTACAGTGTTAAAGCCTATGTACAATTGTGAAGAGAATTTTTCTCTTTAGGAATAGATGTATTGGGCAAAGATCAGAACTGAAATCTAGAGTAAATAAAGGCCATCAAAAGTGTTATTAAAAAAATATGAGATTGTATTTTAGCTGTATGTAGAAGCAAGGAAAACGGGTGCTTGGTATCAAAATTGCATTATAGTTATTAAATGCATATTTTGACTTGTCAGAATAGGATACTTTTGTGTTTATTACCTCTAAATCTTCTATTACTCTTATCTTAAAATCTGATAACCAGGTTGTTAATATCTGAATATTAAGCTTTGTAAATATAAGAATTATAATAATGTTGTAGATGTACCTTAGGAAAAATCATTCTTTAAGAATGAACAGTTTTTTACTTTAATATTAGCATGCAAACTATGCATTATTTCAGTTACTTCAATGAGCAGACTAAGTGTTGTGTTTATAGTTATTTATATAAATTTATATATAAAATAGATTTATAAAATATCATTTTTAATAATAAAATCCAAAATGTAGCTTAAGCTGATTAAGGAAAACACCATTTGATATTATTTGCTGTTTCTCTTAAATTTGAACATGTTGAAGGGATGCCATATATCCAGATCTCCTTTTCAGTTCAGCCTTGTAAATTACACAAAAAAGATCTAATTCCTCCTGAATTTAGTTGGATTGTGTCAGTAATGCCTGAAAAGATTACTGCTTCCACTCCATGGTGTGTACTGTTTATAGAATTAGATCCTGGAAAGGCTTTTGCAGCATAGGACTTAATTTATTTTTTCACATGCAGCTTTAACTAGAACACTTACAGCCTTTTTAAAAAGTGTCCTTTTCAACATAACCCTGCTGGCATTGATGTCACTTTACTTTTCCTTTGCTGTCTCTTCCTATAAGTATGTGCAGGGAGATGAACTTTGTTTAATCCGCTGAATGAGCATGTTTGAATCCGAGCCTGCAGTCTCATTATTCTCCCTTGAGAGAGTATTAAAACGTGTAATAGTCAGGGAGAATAGTTTCGTTGTTAATTGTGACGGTGTGTGTACATAGGTGAGAGGAAAAGCAAGTTGAAGTTCACAGTAGTTTAAAACTGTGTATGAAACAGCAAATTCTTGATTCAGACAGATTTGATCGGAAAACCACCCGGATATGTGGGGATTGTGTGGGTGTAAACAAGTAACGTTTGGGCCTCTCTGCTTTGAAAGTGATTCTTTTACTGAAATCTATAGGGAGGATACATAAAATGCAATATATAAACTATAGGTTTGGAGTTAAAGACCACCTGGTTTGGTTTGGGTTTCTTATTTGTTTGTTGGGATTTTTGTTTTTGTAGTTTTCTAGCAGTCATTGCCACCACATATGCTAATTCAGTAGGAGTTTTTTCGGGGGCATCTGCCCTTTGTTAGAACGGTTTGAGAAGTCATGACAGCTGTAACAGTGGGCTTGTAATTCCTCATCTGTTGGCATACTGTTACACTATTTCAAATGAAGGAAGAAATGAAAGTAGTGAACTACTATCAGAAGAATGCAAATAAAGCATTAACTTGACTTCTGAAATATACCAAGATATCTTGTCACTGTTCTCTGACAACTTTGTTGCCTCGTGTTACCTGAACAGAAGTTGTTAGGAAAAGCTTTGTTACATCCTCTCCAGCATGCTTGCTGCTCTAGAAGTGCACAATTTTAGTAAGTACAGTCCTGTGTTAGTGCCTTTTGGTTCTGTGAATGTTTCCATTGAGCATGCCAAGATGCGGATTTTGTAATGTGGAAACCCACATTATAGACTTGGAATGAGCCCACAGATTTATTTCATATGGGATAACAGAGAGTCTTAAGACAGTAATAGCTCTCAGTTTTTAACAAACTATGCTAGATTTGAACCAGCGGCACAGTGATGAGGTAGCTAACTCATGACATTGCTGAGCAGTTGAAAAATAGCATTCATATTGAATGGTGTTATGCTTGCAGAATTGTGTTTCCTGCTTAACTACAATAACTCATGATTTTAATATATATATAAGGGTTTAATATTAATTTGGTATAGAGTTTAAAATTACGAACTCCTGAATTATTGTTAAAATGCCGATGGCAAAACTATTCAGTATTAAAATTACTGAAGTGCTATAACACAAGCGTTATGTATTAAGACAAAAACACGAATCTATGTAAAGAAATGCTATTGGACAGTTCCTTCTGAAAAATCTAACTTTTGTGGTTTGTTTTTTGTACAGTGCAGCATCTGCCATGTCTACGGAGGGGCAGAGAGTTGACGATAGTCCAAGCACTAGTGGAGGCAGCTCTGATGGAGATCAGCGTGAAGGCGTTCAGCAGGAACAAGAAAGGGAGCAGGTTCAACCCAAGAAAAAAGAGGGGAAAATATCAAGCAAAACAGCTGCTAAACTGTCAACTAGTGCTAAAAGGTACAGTGTTCTTTTTGTGTCTTCTTTTCCCTTCTGTTTCTTCAGCTATCAGATGTATGTCTTGATTCAGTATATTAATTTTCTTATTGCTTCATTATAACACTACTGTGTCAGTGTAAAAGCCTAATAAGACTGGTCACAATAATGAGACCTGTATGCTTTTTTCCCTTCTTTGACAGATTGCCTCTTTCACATGGTTTTAATAGTAGCTTGCATGATAAAAGCTGACATTTTTTTATTGCTAGTAAAACTCAGACAGTTTTGTAGCCTTATAAAATATATCTCTATATGTGTATGTATGACTGATGTTGAAACTTGTCAGTGTAACTTACAGTTAATTAACCATAAACATTTCAGACAGTTCAGCAACTCAGCATGTTAGGACTACCGTGATACCTATTGCTGTAAAGTACTGTGTTTCCTTTCCCCAGATGGTCAGGTCAGAAATATTTGAGTGAACAACAAATGCATGTTGGTTTCATTACTTTAAACTCTGGTCTGTTTTAATACCCATTTCTTTTCCTTCTCTTTTCTACTTGAAAGGTGGGTTAGTAGAATAGCTAATTAAATTACTCTGTGCTATCATATCAATCTCCAGATAATGGCTGTCTTGCTTGGACCAGACAGAAGGAATTTACAGCTTAGTGTTGCTCCATTAGTACGTGTAGGGATGTTAGTCTAGGCAACAGGATTCAAATGGGATTATAGTGACTGAAGTTAAACACTTCTAAAATAATCCAGTGAGAGACCAGTTCTGCAGATGATCCTGATGCAGTATTCCCAGATCCTGTTTCTTTGCTAATTCAAAGTTGTGTAAACTAAAAGAGAAACTATTGGTGTTGTGCTGCTATGGTGCTGCAGTAAAGAAAAAGCATTGAGGCCCTATTGCCATAATTTATAACATATGCATATAGTAGAAGTTCATTAATATCAGTATATGAACATGTTTGTACATCTCTTCAGGATTCAAGTCTTTATCTTCAAGTCTTTAATCTGCCCTTACCATTTACATACTTTTCTGAAATCTCTTCTGTCTTTCCAGTGAGGCATTGTCATGCTTTTCTTCTGCCACAGACACCTTCCTTAGAGCTAGCCTTCTTTTTTTTCCTCCCGAGTGAAATGCTCTCTGAAGACCCATTCCTACTATGACACAATTAGGAGATTATGTAGTCATTACTTACAGGATAGCCAGCAAAGCTTGCCCCTATTTCCTTTTATGACTAAAGGAAAAAACCCAAAGCCAGACCGTAACAACTTTCACTTCAAACCCTGATGTAGTTAATCCTTACAGCCGTTAAAGTTTCTGTCCACCTTCTCTTTCAGTCTGTGTCCTGCTGTTGTTGCTTTTTAGATATTAGGAATATTGGACTAGTCATGACTTTAGAGGTCATAAAAATGAGTTTTTAACATCTTTAGAAAAGAGTCTGTGTTCTGAATTTTGTACAAAGCCTAATGTAATGATGCCACAATTCTGACAAGGGCCTGTGGACACTATCCTATTAAAAAATTAATAATGATATGTCAGAAATTGGTCTATTAATCTTAGCTTTGTATCTTCAAAGCTTAGAGCTTTTTTCAACATGCTTTTCACAGTGATAAAATTATTTAAACCTTTTAAAGTTTAATCATATCTGCTTATGATTCTGCTGAAACTAATTATGCCAGTTGCTGACATCAGTACGTCTGCCAGTTAGACTCTAAAGCCAGCTTCACATGTGTACTAATATTGAAGGAAAGCCTTTTATTATGCATTTTAAAATCTGAGATGATTTACAGGAGTTCTATAGATACATGCACAATAAATACTATTTTTGGGGAAAAAAAAATCTTTGGAAAGATCACAGCAACATAGTTTTTGTAGTAATGTTTTTTTTTATAGTATCATAGGCTGTTTTTGGGGGGGTGTGTTTTGGTTTTTGGGGTGAGTTGTTTGGTTTTTTTGTTTTTTCAGTATTCGGTAGTTTGTGACCTTGTTAGAATTGGGATTATGTTTCTATAAACATTCTTAACCTGGCCAGGTTTTCATAGTGGAGGCTTTGTTTCTTTGCTTTTTAATTAAAACCAGTAATGTCTCAAGGAAAATCAGAAATTAAAGTAGAAGATAAAAAGGAGAGGAGTAACATAAAGGAAGGAAAAATGGCACTGAGTGCTCGATTTGTGACAAGTATTACAGAAACTACGTATAAAATATCTTCATAATAATACTATTATTTTGTTCGTTAGAAGTGAAAAATAGTGCAGGAATAAGGCTATACCTCCTCAATGGGAATGTTGTTCTTGACCAGATTAAAAAAGTTATCTTTTAAAAATATGAATAAATTGAAGTGATTCTGCTGCCCTGATGGAAAAAAGACTGAATATATGCTTAGCAACCTTTTCTAGCTTTTGAATTCAGTGAGTTTGTATGGCATTACTGTAAAGTCACAATAATCTTCACTTAGGAGTTTCACTGTGCAATTCCCTTTAATAACTCCATTACAGTTGAAGGATTCAGCTCTTCTAAAATCAGTCAAAACAACAAACACCAGTGTACTGCAGTTATGGCTTTGGTCAAGATTCCTTAATTCCTGTTTAGAGCACAGAACACCAGCAAGTTATCACAGCACTGGAGCCAGTCACAGGCTGCAGACTAACCTGAGTTTGGAAGTTATGTTTTCTCACTTGGAAAGCTTTTTCATGCATATGGAACTGTAGTCACAGTATTTTTGTATTACAGTATGATACCTCCTGTATATCTTGGATTAGAAGGAAGATTTGTGCATCCATATTTGGAATACCTCTGCTCTGTGTTTTGTTTGTACGTTTATGTAGTCAGATCTAAAAAATTTTCAGTAGCATTAGGTTTTATATCAAACAAGATTTAGCAGCATGTTGGCTTTTGCTTTTTGTGTATAAGTAAACTGCTACCATGTCTTATGTATGAATATAGAATCATAGAATAATTAGGGTTGAAAAGGACCTTAAGATCATCAAGTTCCAACCCCCCTGCCATGGGCAGGGACATCTTACGCTAAATCATATCACCCAAGGCCTCATCCAACCTGGTCTTGAACACTGCCAGGGATGGAGCATTCACAACCTCCCTGGGCAACCCATTCCAGAGCCTCACCACCCTAACAGGAAAGAATTTCCTTCTTATATCCAATCTAAACTTCCCCTGTTTAAGTTTTAACCCGTTACCCCTTGTCCTGTCACTACAGTCCCTAATGAAGAGTCCCTCCACAGCATCCCTACAGGCCCCCTTCAGATACTGGAAGGCTGCTATGAGGTCTCCACGCAGCCTTCCCTTCTCCAGGCTGAACAGCCCCAACTTCCTCAGCCTGTCTTCATACGGGAGGTGCTCCAGTCCCCTGATCATCCTCGTGGCCTCCTCTGGACTTGTTCCAAAAGGTCCATGTCCTTTTTATGTTGAGGACACCAGAAGTGCACACAATACTCCAGGTGAGGTCTCACAAGAGCAGAGCAGAGGGGTAGGATCACCTCCTTTGACCTGCTGGTCACAGTATCACAGTATCACAGTATGCTAGAGATTGGAAGGGACCTCAAAAGATCATCTAGTCCAATCCCCCTGCCGGAGCAGGAACACCTAGATAACGTTACACAGGAATGTGTCCAGGCGGGCTTTGAATGTCTCCAGGGAAGGAGACTCCACAACCTCCCTGGGCAGCCTGTTCCAGTGTTCCGTCACCCTCACTGAGAAGAAGTTCCTTCTCAAGTTTAAGTGGAACCTCTTGTGTTCCAGTTTGCACCCATTACCCCTTGTCCTATCATTGTTTGCCACTGAGTAGAGCCTGGCTCCATCCTCGTGACACTCCCCCTTTATATATTTATAGACACTTATAAGGTCACCTCTCAGTCTCCTCTTCTCTAAACTATAAAGACCCAGCTCCCTCAGTCTTTCCTCATAAGGGAGATGCTCCACTCCCTTAATCATCTTGGTTGCCCTGCGCTGGACTCTCTCCAGCAGCTCCCTGTCCTTCTTGAACTGAGGGGCCCAGAACTGGACACAATATTCCAGATGGGGTCTCACCAGGGCAGAGTAGAGGGGAAGGAGGACCTCTCTCGACCTACTAACCACCGCCCTTCTAATACACCCCAGGATGCCATTGGCCTTCTTAGCCACAAGGGCACAGTGTTGGCTCATGGTCATCCTGTCGTCCACTAGGACCTCCAGGTCCCTCTCCCCTACACTGCTCTCTAACAGGTCGTTTCCCAACCTATACTGGAACCTGGGGTTGTTCCTGCCCAGATGCAGGACTCTACGCTTTCCCTTGTTATATTTCATCCCGTTATTCCCTGCCCAACTCTCCAGCCTGTCCTTTCGCTGGATGGCAGCACAGCCTTCTGGCGTGTCAGCCACTCCTCCCAGCTTAGTGTCATCAGCAAACTTGCTGATAGTACACTCAATTCCCTCATCTAAATCATTGATGAATATATTAAATAGTACTGGTCCCAGTACTGACCCTTGAGGCACTCCACTAGTTACAGGCCTCCAACTAGACTCCGCCCCATAGACTACAACTCTCTGGCTTCTCTCCTTCAGCCAGTTCGCAGTCCACCTCACTACCTGGTCATCCAGTCCACACTTCCTCAATTTAGCTGTGAGGATGCTGTGGGAGACTGTGTCAAAGGCTTTGCTGAAGTCAAGGTAGACACGCTCCTTTTGATGCAGCCCAGGATACGGTTGGCTTTCTGGGCTGCGAGCGCACACTGAAGCCAGTCCGTGTTCATTTTCTCATCAACCAACACCCCCAAGTCCTTCTCCACAGGGCTGCTCTGAATCTTTTCTCTGCCCAACCTGTAGCTGTGCCTGGGATTGCTCCGACCCAGGTGTAGCATCTTGCACTTGGCATGGTTAAACTTCATGAGGTTGGCATCAGCCCACCTCACAAGTGTGTCAAGGTCCCTCTGGATGGCATTCCTTCCCTTCAGGGTATCAACTGAACCATTGCTTTCTAAAGTGAGCTGATTATGGAGGCTATCTGAAATGATTTGAATCA